ATTTTGGCATTTCAGTGACAATCAGCAATGTCCTGATTGTAACAGAGTTTATAAGATTGAACCTCTGCTAAAAATGTTCATAAAAAAATGTTAAGAAATATATGTACCCGGCAAAGTAGTAGGGGTAAGTGTGCAAATGGCGGTCAGCGGGTAATGGCGGTCATCCCGATTGTGGGAAATCTGTTCAATCTGGCAACCTCCTATAACCGTCAACGTGTCACGACACTTACTCCGTATTCAGTTTGCCGACGACCATTGTGAGAGAAAAAATATTAACCTGTTTTCGGTGTTTTCGATCTTAGTTTTATGGTGAGTAATATAAGGTCTTAATTCATTTTTATTCACTTGTAGATCTTAAAATTGGTTGCAATTCATTATAATGATATTAGCTGCCTATTCCTTTTTTAAACATCAATAATTCAATACATGATTACGAGTAAAAAATTCTAAGAAAAAAAATGCCAACAGGAGGCAATGCCGGTCAGTTGACCGGTATTACCCCCATGCTGACTTATATTAAATTAGTTTGTACTATTAATCCTTAGGGAATTTTCATATTTCAGATGACAATGAATCGAAAAATAACGACTTGTAAAGCAAAATGGAATCAACACGATTTAGAAAAAGCTATTTTAGCATATCGAAATGGTGAAATGACTATGCGAAAAGCTGCAAAAGCATATGAGATCCCTTTTTCGACATTGCAAGAAAGAATCAAAAATAAAAATCTTCAAGGTGCGACATTAGGTAGAAAATAAGTATTTTCTGCCGAACAAGAAGCTGAAATAGCCACACAAATAAAATATTTAGCTTCTATTTTCAATGGCGTAACAGCAAGAGAACTGAGAAAATTAGCATTTGAGTTTGCTGAAAGAAACAGTATTAAATATTACTTTAACGTCAGTTAAAGTAATATTTAATACTGTTTCTTTCAGCGAGTGTCGAGTGGTTACAAAATTTTCTTCGCAGAAATCCAACAGTATCCATACGCAAAGCAGAAGGCACGAGTCTAAACCGATTAACAGCTTTTAATAAAGAAGAAGTTGACCTGTTTTTAAGCAATTAGAAAGTTTAATGACAAAATATCAATTTGGTCCAACACAAATACAATGCCGATGAGACGGGCATTAGTACAGTTCAGGATCCTGGAAAAATTTCAGCTACCAAAGGCCAGAAAAGGGTGGGCTTTGCAACCAGTGGAGAGAGGGGTAAAAACATCACAGTTATGTCTGCTATGAATGCCGCTGGGGGATACATTCCACCCATGTTTATTTTTCCGCGAAAGCGACTGACACCTCTTTTAGAAAAAGATGGACCTCCGGAGGCATTATATAAATGTTCAAATAATGGTTGGATTGATGAAAGTTTATTTTATGAATGGTTACAACACTTCCACAAATACTCAATCAAAACCCAGTGAAACCTCACCAGTTCTTCTAATTATAGATAACAATTCCAGCCACATATCAATAAAAGTTTATGAATATTGCAAAGCAAATAATATTTTTATGCTTTCAATTCCGCCTCATTCATCTCACAAGATCCAACCTTTGGATATAGTTTTTTATGGGCCTCTTAAAGCTGAATATCGAAATGAATGTAATTTGTTCATGAAAACACATTTTATGTATTGGAGCCGTGATGAAGACAAAGGAGTGCCATTAGTGCAAGGATGCATGAGCAGGAATAAATTTCGGAATATAAAAAGAAATATCCACTTATCTGATAATACAAAATTAAATAAGAAACAATGAAATGTGGTTTAGATGTACACTTTGCTCAAGATGGGCCTATTCAGAGTTCAGTGGATGGGATTCTGCAGAGGGTTATGTCTGCGATGACTGTCGACCATTTTTTTTACATTAAAATATTATTTTTTACCTTTTTTGCCGATTGTTTAGTTCACATTAAAACACATATTTTTGTTATTTTGTTATGTAATGAAAATATTTTTTTCACCTTTCTTACTGATTTACCTGAATTATTACCCATTAAGGCATATTCGTTAATCGATTTATAACAAAAAATTGTTAAATAGATAATTATTTTCATTTTAATAATAACACAAGCCAATTGACTGGCATCACCCACACCCACATATATGGTGACAATACCGGTCAAAGATATTTTTTTATTTTTTGTTTCTGCCAAAGACTAAAATTCTTGATTTTTTAAATTGAATGTGTCTTGCAATAAGTTAAAAACCCAAATGACTGTTTGACGCCTTAAATTTGATTTATAGAGTTTTACTTTTTTTATATTAAATTTTCTTCTTAGGTGACCGCCATTTGCACACTTTACCCTACTTCCCAATGGCATACATCAAAACCCAATCCTCAAAGAAATGACAACTAAATATACCAAAGACTTTGACTTACTAGTAACCAACCAAAATATACCACAGAGCCAAATAAAAGGTTTATCAAAAGAAATGAAAGAACTCATCAATTTAAAGCAAGCTTTCTCATTCGCAAATACGATCGACAATCTTATCATACAACTTGACTCAATTCAAAACTTGATTTTGAATATAGAAAATGCGATATCCTTTGCTAGACTTATTGCATAGTTCAATTATAGAACCACAGAGGTTGAAATTACTTATTACAAAATTGAACAAAATCTACGAGACTAGACAAATTCCTACGTTGCAAAACTTCATGAACCCAAGTAATTATATTATTCGAGAAGGTTTCATAATTTTTAAAATTCATGCACCTATAATAGCAAATGATTACAAATATTTCCAAATGTATCCTGTCCCCATATCCAATCTCATGATTTTACCTCAACAACCTTTCCTTTTGCTCAACACAAATGAGTATTGGACAACTGCAACAAGATACACGGAGAACACAACTTCCACAACTTCAGAGAACACAACCATGCATTGCCGGCATAATCAAATCAGGCAAAAATATTTGCAAAGGAATATCAGTTACTCTCAGTGAAACAAGAATAACCCAGATAAACGCACATAAAGTACTTGTGATACCAGTTCAAACAGTTACTCTACAAGCCAACTGCGAATTGAATGGGATATACCAAATCACACAACCATCTATAATCACTCTCGAAAATTGCCATGTCGAAATAGATGGAAAAGCATTCAATCAAGAGGAAACACTACATGATAGTTTAGTATTCGAACTTCCTAAGTTAAACATCACTAGAGAAGAATCCAACCAACCTTTGCCTCCAATGAAACTAAAATCCATCGACGGAAATGAACTGAAACATATTGAGACGATCGCACAGAATCTCCATGCGGAAAATCTGCAACCAATCAACGATAGCCATGCGTAGACGAATACCAGCCTCATCATGATATTAATACTTTCAATCGGAATAGTTGCCACAGTGTACTTCAAATTCATCAAACCAAGGAAACAAAGAAGTTCCAAAGACCAAACCCAATCATCGCAAAACAAGGAACCCTTATTTTCCGATCTTGGCAAGAAAGGAGTTATGTAGCCTTATGAATAACGCATTGTACTACTAATCTCATAAATATGTCATAGGTTACTTAGATAAGTACACTAAACAATGTAATGCTTTTACGTTAATGATCTAATGCACTTTTCCTTTTTATATATAAACTCTGATATTCTCAAGATTAGTCAGTTAGTAAGTTGACTCCATTTATTGTGCAGCCGAAGGCTCTGTCCTTAAGCTCATTGAATAAGTGTAAATAAACGTTTTTAAAAAGTATTTCCATTGTTTGGAAAACATAATTGGAACGATGGAATACATGTTACCATACAATTCTGGCAAATGAACATGTCGTGCAATCAAAACTTTTTGTGAATCAAAACAACATAACTTACAACAAGAAAATAATTCAACCACTTCAGTTGAAAAATAATGAGTTTCATTCCTCACATTTTCAGATAGTCCTAAATATTGGAGAAGATACTGAAGTAATGAAGTATTAAAATCCCAGTTCAACAAAAAAAATTGAAGCTTCGACCTCCATATATCATCTCCCTTGAAGTAGTTTTTCATCGAAAAACAATGTCGGAGTGTCTAACTACATGTAACTCATTTTAGAAAATTTGCTATAATCAGAAGATAATGAAAATCAATTCTGCATAAGCATTCAAGAAAGAAAGCACCATCGACCAAAACTGTTCAAGTGCGAGGTTTTCCTGAAAGAGAATAAAAAACATGTAAAACCCCAGTAAAAATAAAACAAGAACCATTGAACAAAATTTTTCGAGTATAAGGTTTTCCTGAAAGAGAATAAAAAACAATAGCCATAAAACAATATTCCAGTAACACTAAAACATATATTCCTGTATCTTCGAATACACCTGTGAGAAAATATTTTCCTCAAATGTTGGACTTTTAAAATGAAAGTCAAAACACTTCCCAGCTATATTACCTTTGTAAAAATGTGAACTTGAAATACCAAAAATAATTTTGTGAATGAAAACCACAGAAGCTAATATGACCTGACTGGTTTCTTTCGTTTTTCTGAGTCGGAAGACGGATTCCAAAAGGTGGAGAAGAAACCAAACGGATGCACTAGACTGCGCTTGGCGCAAGAGGCAGCAGCGAAAAAAGCAGGCAATGTATACATAAAATTTAATTAATCTGATCTGCAGAATAAGTTCTTTGTTCTTCAAGTATTCGGTTCATAACAAAAATTGAAACTCCGATTTCCATATATTCTCTCTTGGAGTAGTTTTTCATCGATAAACAATGTCGGAGTATTTAACTACATATCTCATTTTCGAAAATTTGCTATAATCAAGAAATAATAAAAAAACAACTCTGCATAAACATCAACAAAAGAAGCATCATTGACCAGAATTGTTCAAGTGTAAAGTTTTCCTGAAAGAGAACGAAAAACAATAACAATAAGGCAATAAAACAAATATTCATGTTTTCCTGAAAGAGAAAGAAAAACTAACAATAAAACAAATATTTATGTTTTCCTGAAAGATTACGAAAAAACCTGTAAAAAAATGTTTTCCTCAAATTTTGGACCTCTAAAATAAAAGTCAAAACACTTCCCGGCTATATTACCTTCATAAAAATGTGAACATGAAATATCAATAATAATTATGTGAATGAAAACAATAGAAGCTAATATCAACCCTGAAAGGTTTCTGCCGTTTTTATGATTACAGTTTTTATGTAACATGGCTGAAAATACATGTAAATCACATAATATCAACTAAAAAAAGATCATTCAACCAAAATGCTATTGCATAAACTTCGTTTTTTTTCTTATCACTCTCCCAGGTTGACTCAAGCGCTGGAGATGGCTTTGGTAGAGTTTCAACTGTCTTCATCATAGAGCAGGATCATCTGGAAAAAATGATACGACTTCAAATTCACAAATTTCAACCATCAATACACTATAACTGAACCTGCATGCTACTATTTTCACTACTATTGTGACGCATCGCATCATATCTCAAATAGGTATGGGAAAATAGATTTACTCAAATATCAAAAAAATGAATGCCGATATCAATCTTGCTATCTTGAAAATGGTATATGAATAACGTTTGTTCGAAAGCATATATCATTCCTACTGACAGAGGGAAGCCTCAATGGGGAATGTTCCTCAATTTGGGTAATTACAGCAAATGCAAGTTTGAACAAAATAAAGTTGAGTTCAATTCATGAATTTTTCAAATTCACTTTGAAAAGTATTCAAATTGATGTTTCAAAAGTTGGGTTTCAATTTTTATAGGGATTTGTTTCTAATTCACATATTGGCAACAGCGCCTATATCAAGTTGAAATAATTTATACGTACCTAGATATTCTACTTCAAAAAAGGAAAATTATGTTTATAAATCAACAATTAAGGCAAAATATAAATTATAGTTCAATAAGTAAACAGAACAGCACGCCTCTGAAATATGTCATCTTTGTTTGTCTCATAGATAGAACAACTCAGTAGCACTTGTGCTAACTAAGTTGAACTTCGCCTTTTGTTATGTCAGCAACTAGCTCTCTAATTTATTTAAATATTTGTATGTAACTACAGCTGGGTAACAATAAAGACGATTACTATTATTATTATTAACAGACAAACATATAGTACAATAATAACATTGTAACAGTATACAAACAGTCAGACAAAGAATATAAACAGGCAGACAATTCAAAGTCTATCAGCGAAATATTCTTCTACCGAATAATAAGCCTTTTATAAAAGCATGATTTTTAGTTCCTTTTTCATTTTTCTAACAGGCAAGTTTTTGATGGAATCTGGTATTTTGTTATAAATATTAATCACAGAAAAAGGAACATTTTTCTGTACAAAAGAAAAACGTGTCATTAAGTTGAGAAGACTGTTTTTATTGTGGGTATTATGAGAGTGATTTCTATCAAAAATTTCAAATAATGACATGTTTTCTTTAACAAAAATAACACATTCATACACATACATACTTGTAAGAGTAAGAATTCTCTTTTCAGTAAATATTTCCCTGCAACTCTCTCTTCTAGGTAGATTGAAAATTTTTCTCAAACATTGTTTTTGTAGAATGAATATTGGCTGAGTGTCCACAGACATTGCCCAAAGGATGATACCATATCTAATGCGACTTTTAACGTATCCATAGTATGCCAGTAGTGCTGCATTTTGAGAAATATTTTGTGATATGACTTTCAAAGCAAAACAGTATCTTGATAAAGTTGTTGCAATATTATTTATATGACTCTTCCAGTTCAATTTTGAGTCAATTGTTAAGCCCAGAAAAGACAATTGAGGAGAAGATTCCAATGTTGTTAATCCATTACTGAGATTACAAACACTACTAGTACCATTTCGTGTAAACGTTATGGCATGCGTTTTATTGGTATTTAATTTCAGATTATGGGCTGAAAAGTAGTCTTCTAGCAGGTTCAGGGAGGATACAGGTAACAGATTCATTGTCCTTTATTAGCTATAACCGATGTTGCCAAATGGTGAAATAGAAACGAATCCCTTTAAATGTTGAATGCATTATTTCATTCCTCTTTTTTTTTAAGCATTTAAATAATTTTTTAAAGAAAAAAGTTGAAATGATAAGTTCAAAATGCGTTCTTTTAGAGCTCTTTTATGAAAACTACTTGATTTTCGTCAGGAGGAACATTCCCCATTGCAAACAGACTGTTATTCGACACTGAAAGTCACAGCATTCTGGAAATGACCTCTGACTTTATGCCTCCAACTGTCAACTACGAACTGCCTTATAAAGTACTGGTTCCGAGTAGAGAGGACTGGATCCTCCGGGAGAAGGAAATATTAAGAGCAGATAGTTGTTGGTTCACAGATGGATCAAACACCTTCCGGTCCTGGTGCAGGTGTTTTCAGTCGCAGACCCAGGACAGAGATATCAACCCCCCTAGGAACCTATGCGACTGTATTTCAAGCGGAAATTTACGCGATTGAATGGTGTGTGGAGAGATTGGAAGAATCCAACCTCATACACAAGTCAATGAAAATATTCTTGGACAGTCAAGCGGCGCGGCGTTGGAAGCTCTTGGCTCCTACCGAGCAATGTCTAAATTGGTAGCAAAATGCCAAAAACCACTATCCTCGATAAAACGACTCAACAGATTGTCTCTGGTTTGGATTCGTTGCCATACTGGCCTGCAAGGCAATGAGGCTGCTGACTCCCTTGCTAAGGAGAGTGCTGCAAGCAGCTTCATCGGACCAGAACCTGTCATTGGCATCACTTTAGGTTTTGCCAAACAAAGATTGAACACATGGATGGCAAAAAGATTCAAGGACTTCTGGCAGAATCTTCCAGGATTGGCTTTCTCCAAGGCATTTATGATGTACTGTTTGGAACCTTTGGTGTAGTAATGAATATTACTGGAGTTTTTTCCCAACACCAAATCGTTATTTTTACACCTTGACACGTGTTTCGATCACCAAGTGATCATCTTCATGAGGAAGTGGTATTACTGAAGTGGTATTACTGATTACAGGTAGGTAATCAGTAATACCACCCATACAAGTGTACCGCCCTAAATTAATTTTACAATTGGCCTTTCTATTATTTTACAATATGTCCTTGTGTATGTTTAAATGTTACAGCTATATATAGAACAATTTTCAGCTATATAAAATTAGTTTCACAATATTGCCTATCTAAATATATTTACACATTGTAAATATATTTAGATAGGCAATATTGTGAAACTAATTTTATATAGCTGAAAATTGTTCTATATATAGCTGTAACATTTAAATATACATAAGGACATATTGTAAAATAATAGAAAGGCCAATTGTAAAATTTATTTAAGGTGGTACACTTGTATGGGTGGTATTACTGATTACCTACCTGTATGATGTACCTGAATAGCTTAAATAGCTTTAGTTCTGAGTAGCTTTTTCTTCCTCTTGAAGATGATCACTTGGTGATTGAAACACGTGTCGAGGTGTAAAAATAACGATTTGGTGTTGGGAAAAAACTCCAGTAATATTCTTTACTCCAAGGCGTTTATTCACCCTTCGAAGTTTGATCATCATATGCAGAAACTCGGACTGTCTGAAGACAAAGTGTGTCGCCTCTGTTTGGAAGGAAAATCTAATTACAATCTAATTACAACCCATAAGTGAAATACTGTGTTTCAGCTCTCTACACACTGCTAACTCTATTAAAAATCTACAGTATATGTTTCTTTTAGTTTCTTTTTTTTATTATTATATGAATGAATCACTGTTTGTATAATATACTACTCTACTACTCTGCTGATTTTGTATGCTATTCGATATTTTCCATTGTACTCATACTTAGTCATAGCTGTAAACTTAATTATATTTGTCTTGTAATTGGGATTACTCCTGTTAGACAATGTTCACAGACAAAATTGCCGTTATTGGAGTGACACCAACCCTCACAATTTCCCGGAAACACATACCCAATATCCAGAAAAAATTATAGTTTGGGCAGAAATATTGGGAAACCATATCGTAGGACCTCTATTTACTAATCAAAATTCAACAGTGGAACTGTATTTGAGTATGCTGGAAACTACTGTTGACCCTCTCACCACTGAAATCGTTGAAGCGAATCCTAATGAATTCGATATAGATATTGTATTCCAACAAGGTGGAGCACTGCCACATTACTCCAGACAAGTAAGAAACTATTTGGATAGTACTTTTCCCAGTCGTTGGATTGTCCGTCGAGGTCCTACAGACTGGCCAGCCCGCTCGCCAGATTTGACACCTTTGACTTTTTCATGGGGCTATTTGAAGCAAAAGGTGTAGTTATGAATCACACGTTGAAAGGTAAGACCTCGTTAGACCTTAGCTCGCACAAGTTTCTCAACTTCTGAGAGTTGTCGTTCGTATGGGGGCGACAGCTGATTAACGGAAAAACAGATTTTAAACAGACAGACAGATTTTAAACATACAGACAGATTTTAAACAGAAAAGGTGTACGAAACTGAACCTGCTTCAATATTGCATATACGGCAGAGAATAATAAATATTTGTAGAGATATTGGCGTTACTGTGTTCGAAAATGTTTAGCGTGAAATATCGGATAGGCTGTTGATATTTCAAGAAGTTCGAGGCAACCATTTCGAGCATCTTCTGAACTGACCTCAAGCTTATTACCTCATATTATGTTGTTAAACGTCAATGTATTTAGGCAATTATTAAAAGTTCCGCCATTTTTTAGTAGTTGAAGATATTGACATTATATTGTAGGGTAGTGAAGCATTTGTCAGGAGCTTTAAAAAGATGTGTCAATTTTTTTAGTTGACCCGTTCAAAAAATAAAAGGGGGGGGAGACATTAAAGAAAAGCACTGTATTGATTAAATTAGCATATGTAAGGCATCTATCAATATTCACATAAACAATAGATACTTACAATTGAAAGAACAAGGTTTTTTTTTAAATATTTATATCTTATACAGTACACCTGAGTTATGTTTAATCTCCTGATTATAATTGGATCGCAATTAGAATTTCAAAAAAATTATTACCTGCTTTGTACGCTGCTTTCACGCTGCCTTCACTTTGATTCATCACAGGATGGCGAAGTCGGGGTCACTTTCTAGGAACAAGATAGTCTAAGCGTATCAGTTATCCCTTCGGACATTCATCTGAAGAAGCTTTTCTTCTGCAACTAGGCTGAAAAAAGTCTATAATGAATATAAACGTCATGCTTATCAATGCATATAATAAAATACTAGCTAATCACTGTCTGTACATACAAGATATTTGTGAAAGATTTTATTAGGGGGTCTTCAATAACACAACAGAACCCAAAAACGATGATTCCTAAAATCACTGAGGATATACTATAAAAACACACTTTTGTAATTGTCTAAAGATTTATAGTCAGTCAACCATAAGGAGTTATTGGAGGGCGATGGAAATGATTAGAAGATGGGCCAAGTGGTGTCCAAAAAAAAGGGAAAAGAATTAGATTCGAAAGTGTCATAGTAAGTGATTATTTTTATGTTTCTGACTGGCTTTGTCTTCATATCCTGCTCAGCCAGCCAATTGTATTGCAATTTATAGGCATATAAGAGGTTGTTATTAGTAGTGAATTTTTGTGATTCTGTTCTGGTTTTATTGTTTTCTTCGTAATCTGTTTGTGTTATTTGTACTTTTATAAGACAATTGTAAGTGAGTTGTGATAGGGTTATATTGCAGCAACTTATTTATTCACGGGTAACTCCAATTTAATATAAGTTATACAAATATCAGATTGTTAACACTAATCTTATCTAATTTAATTATAATTAATAACAATTTAAACAGTTATAGTAGAGAATTGGAATGAAGCGAGAATAAAAGTAAATGACAGATACTAGCAATTTAAGAAAAAGTATAACTTAACTTATTTCTAAGAATATCCTCGGAAATATGAAAGAAATCGAATTTTGTATTATTCCGGTTTGTGACTATTCTTAATAAAGAAGAATGCATTCCATAGTTACACCTATGGTAATCTATTGCAAAGGTTAGATTATTTCGTATTTTTCTAGAGGGAACATGAAGATTTACTTGGGCAAGAAGAGTTGAACAATTAATTCTAAAATTAAGCAATTTATTAAGGAATATAATATCTATATGACTTCTTCGTGAACTAAGTTTCGGTAAACCAGTTACAGACCGAATTTCTGAAAAAGACTGATCACTGAGAAGTATAGACAACTTAAAGGCAATATATTTTATAAATTTGTTTTGTACTTTTTCTATAGTGTACTTATGAATTTCATAAGTTGGTGACCAAACACAGCTACAATATTCTGTAATCGATCTAACCAAAGCGAAATACAATAACTTAATAGAATTAATGTTGGTGAAGTCTTTTGTAGTCCTGTATACAAAGCCTAACATTTTCATTGCTTTGCTAGAGATCTGTTCATACTGCAGGTGAAAATCCATTTTGACATCCACCACTACACCAAGATCTCATATGGATTTCACTGATTCTAATAATTTGCCTGCTATGGTATACATATTGTTGTAATGAGTAAGTGATCTAGAAAAAGACATATTTTGCATTTAGACACATTCACATCCATATCATTGTCTACACACCATTCAGTAAAAGATGTAATGTTCGTAGTCAACTGTGGATACAATGGTTTTGAATATTTTCAAGTCATCAGCAAACATTAATACTTCAGAATGACTAATTTTGGTTTTGATATCGTTGACAAAGATATTAAATAGGAATGACCCTAAATGGCTTCCTTGTGGAACTCCTGAGCTAACAGAGATTTGTTGAGATATAAATCCTTTAATTTTTACAACTTGTGTTCTGTTACATAGATAATTTGTGAACCATTTCAATAAATTCCCAAAGAAACCGATTGCCTCCAATTTTGCACAGAGAATCCTGTGATTAACTGTGTCAAATGCTTTGGAAAAATCTGTGTATATCACACCAACTTACTGTTTTTTCTCCAAAGCATTTAAGATATACTGAGAGTAGAGCAACAAATTAGTATTGGTCGATTTGCCCTGGCAAAAACCATGTTGCTCATCGATTATAACCTGATTCAGAGGGGTCTTTATATTATCGCATATGATGCTTTCCATCAATTTAGGTATAGCACTCAATATGCTAATGGGGCAAAAAAAATTTATGTTTGCTCTTTTTCCAGATTTATATATAGGCGTTATGTAACTTGATTTCCGTACAAGAGGGACCTCACTTAGACTAAGTGAAGCTGTAAAAAGCAAAAATAGTGGTTTTGTCAGAGTAAATCTACAATTTTTCAATAACATTGTTGTGATACCGTCAGGTCCTGGACCTTTATATGGATCCAATTGAGATAGTTTATTACAAATAATTTCCAAACTAATTGCACAACTATTCATTTCCACAGTCTTATCAGTGGTGAAGGTTGGAATTTCATCAACAGTATCGGGCTTGTACACAGATTGAAACTGTTGTGCGAATGCATTTACAATTTCATTACCATTGTCATGGGTCAAATTATCACAATACATAGTCTCAGGTAAGCCATTATTTTTCCGTTTGGTATTCACAAAGTTCCAAAAATATTTACTGTTAGATGCTATATTATTTTCAAATGTTTTAATGTCATTTTCATAACCTATTTTGCATGCTGATTTGCACTAAGCTCTAATATTGGAAAATATCAGATAGTCATCCCAACTTTTGCTAGTTTTGTATGCTTTGCGAGCTTTTTTTCTTTTCCATAGTTAGCACCTTCAAATTAATGTCAAACCAACGGGGAAATCATGGCTTTGAAAGGCGGACGGCAGGAACAAAATTATGTAACCCGTTATACAAAATATCATAAAAACTTTCAGTAACTTGGTTAATGTCAGTTATGTTGCCAAGATATGAGTCCCAATCAATGCCAGCTAGATAGTAATTCAAGCCAACATAATTCGCATTTTTGAAGTCAAAAAGAAAATATTCTAGCTCTTTAAAATCATGTTTGTTTGTCTGTTTGTCCAAATAATCTTGGGACATATAACATTTCACCTTCTGGTGCACCCTCTCCACATACCTAATGTGAAAAATTATACTATATATTATTAAATTCTGCCATTTTAATTTCTTTGGTATTTGGCTATCACCCTTATAAAACAAGTGACCTAATTTTCAAGTTGGTGTTGGTCATTTTGCAATATCAGCAAGTGTACCCAATTGAGTTGTTAGTCTTTTGTTCCTTTTACAATTTTATCTTTATTTCCAGATGTCTGGCAATAAACGTGCCTACAACAAAGGTGGACTCTCAACTAGAAATGACCAGAGTTTGAGATTTTTCCGTTTTCCAGTCAAAATCCATTCAGATAAGAAACAGTTCCCAAAATGTATTAATTTCAAAATATGTTGATGTAAAGAAACTTCCAATGGATCTATTATTCTGCAAGAGTCCTACTTCTATATCAATATTACAAAAAAATTCAACTATCTTCATGTAAAAGTTTTGCAAACGAATAATGATATATGGTTCTTCTTGTCACCCTTATCTAATTGGACCACCAGAACAGACCCTTTTGGAAAGCTGGAAGACAGTTTGGAAGCTTGACAGAGTACCATGAACATTACTAGTTATTGGTAGATTGTCAGATAGGTTCTTATTTAACGAAGCGAAATACCTGTAATCCCTAATTATTTCAACAGTATTTCATGTAAGACACAGTTTTGGTTAGATTGCAAAGCTTCATGGCAGTTGGATTGCCTTGCTCAAGTTCTTTAACCACGCCTGTAACCACCACCACCACATTGCTGAATATTTAAAAATAATAATTATCAGTTGATGATTATTCATGACTGTTGCATCAACTTTTTTTATAAAGGGTCGCCGATATGTATGGAAACGGTCGATTATCTCTGAAAGTAAGATAGCTAGCGAAAAATATTAAAATATAGAAGTTTTAGGGTTTTTCAAAATCTACCACACTAAATAAAAATCAAGTATACGGGATAAGTGAAAAAGTTTTGAAGAAATGAAGTTGCTTTCTCTTCAATAGAACACCCTATGTATTATTCCATATTTTCATTCTGATCAAAATTCTGAACAAAATTGATACAGCACATCATTTCCTAAATTTATCCGTTTTCAAGATATCAAATTTTGAAAATAATTTTTTACTACTACTCTGAAATTTATTTAAAAAGACACGAAATAATGGATATTTATTATGAAAGTCACACAAGTGGAGTATGTGGACACAGTCAGACACCGAAACACCACTATTACTAAAACTTGGTATAATTTGTAAAAACAATCGTATAGTATACCTCTAATAAAAGAATGCAGTAAAATGTTAAAACATTTCATGCAAATGAAAAAATACAGGATGTTCCATTTGAAAAAGTTGAATTGTGTCTGAAAATGAATGAAACTTGACCGGTTTTACCAAGCACCCTATATGTTGTTTTCGAAAGTTGAGATTCCAGAAATTAGCATAGTGATATTGACTATTCCTAAAAAATCCACTGTAGACATGTGGGTGGTGAATTAAAAAAATATTGTCGGCAAAATAGGTTTTTCTGGAATAACTTGACAATACCTCGATGAAAATAAATGTGATAACTTCCAATCGTATTTTATAATGACTGAAAGTTATAAAACAAAAGGTACTGTATAATATAAACAGTATGATAATTCTAATTAGTCAGCAACTTATATTTATGAATTTTGCCCATCAAATATAAATGAATGGAAAAAATTATATACTTAGTTTTCTTTACAAAACTGGAAATTATTTTTTCTTGATGGATACCAAAAGAAAGCTATATATTATCTTCAATCGAGGTGGCATTTACAGAGAATTTTAGGTTTTGACAATGGAAAGAGACCACTTTTCAAAACTTCTGCAATTTATACCGAAAACTGAGGATGTGAATTGTTTTCAAAAAAACTTAATTTTGTTTAATGAGCAATAAGATTCTCCAAAGGTTTATATTACATAGTTATTTTCGGGTGAACTCTCACATATTGTTCTTTTTTAAACACACTTGAGATTCATATTTTTTTCAGATTATGTTAAAATGAAAACACAAAGAACCGTGACTCCTTCACAAAAATAAAGCGAGTAATTGTTACATATATATTTGGTTATGTCAGATCTGTATATTTCAGAATAGTTGAGGATTGTTTTAATGAATTCTATGTAATGGAATTGGCCGATACTTGATGAAAAATCCATAAAGGATTCACAAGTAGCACTGTATCATGATATTTTTCACAGAACAGTTTACAAAACAGCAACACGAGTTTCGAAATACAATAGCTCCCTCAGGTGTGTTCATACTAACTGCTGAGACAACTAGGCATGAATTATGTTCCCTCAGAGTACATGTACAAGAATATAATTCCTGACTTGCCAATGTCCACAATGGTGTGGAAACAAGTCCATAATATTTGTGGCTTTCATCTAAAGTTCATGAATGCATCTACCAAAAGTCTAATAATGAGTAAAAGTGAGATAGAGGCATTGAATATAATTCCCGAAAAAATATTAAAAGCTATTTTTTATATTCCTCAAAAATCCGGAAAGTCTAGTTCTACAGTAAAATATTATCTTCAATCATCATTGTATTCGTGAACGTATGGTATCAAAGCTATTGGGAAATTGGTTAGTAAGAAAAATAAATATGTTCTGAAAAAAGTATACAAAAAATTTAACAATAATGTTAAAAATTAAATTTGCAAATGGTGGTCTACTTACATGCAAAAGAAACGTGTAGAAATTCCTTTTCAAAATCGATAAATCGTAAACAGCACCCATATAGCCCCCATACATTATCAGAATAATTATTCAATCAAGAAATATGTACCTAACTATAATTATATTACTTTGTGATTAATGAATTTAAAATAAAACTGACAACCGACACCCACCAACTGAAGCATTAAAGCAACTACTGACAAGTGACAAGTGACTAATGAAAGCTGACGGCACATAACAGTTAAAAATAACCTTTGAAAAATATCCGTTTAGAAAGGGGTGGAATACTAACAGACACTCAGAATTCACATGAATACTACCAAATAGTTATACAACCAAATTTCAGTAGAACAACGCAAGAAAGTATACAATACAAACACGTTAGGTCAAAAACGATCATATGCTCAAACTGTAGGTAAAGAATATTACTGGAATTCTATCCCAACACCAAACCGTTATTTTTAACAGCTCGACACGCGTTTCAATCACCAAGTGATTATCTTCAAGAAAAAGATTAAACTAAGTCTTATTTACAGCAAAGATACCTGTCGTAGGTATCGAGGTGTTAAAAATGACGGTTTGGTGTTGGGATAAGACTCCATCAGTGATATTCATTACTACTCCAAAAGATCCAAACAGTGCATCACATATAGGTAAATAAAAAAAAGAAATATAAGGAAAGGTTATAGGCAAGAAACGAACAAAATTCTTATAAATCCAAAGAGAAGAGTTCATCAATCAAATAACGGAACAATTCTCAATCATATCATATGAATAAAAAACAATTAACAGTCTAGGAACTATTCCAAAAACTCTGTCAAGTTAAAGAAACAATAATTAAGAGACAAATAACGAAAATAATGAGAGATTGAATTTTTCGGAGATAGTGAAGAAAACACAATAATTAAAAGTTTCTATGGAAATTTTATCAAATCAACAAGTGATACCACTTCGAAAATAGGTAGTTCAAACCTAATATGATAACTCCAGTAAGCGTCAGGATTATGACTCACCAAATAATCAGGAGAGCCTGAGATATTGATAATTATACAGTGAAATATAACAAGTATCAATGCTAATTGGCATTATCTGAATGATATAATTGAAGAATACAATTCAAATGTGATACTGTTGAATGAAACATGGCTCAAACGATTTCAAAAATTTAAAATAAAATAGAGATGACGGCTACGGAAGTTCAGCCACTATGGATGGTACGCAAATACATAATATATGAATGTTGCAGATGACCTGGTAATTACCAGGATCGTGGGTAATTAGAGGTTCTCCCTGGTACCTTTCCTAACAAAATTCATTTTGGGTGATTAGCGGGTAATAAAACTCATGATAGGGTGAATATCCTAGCATTATTTTGTATAATGACCTTGAGATTTCTGACGGAAATCATGATTGCCACCAATCAAATACAAAACCCGGTTACTACTTATCGAATCTAATAATTCGCTATAATGTGCTATTTTGAGTTGACATTAATAGCATCGGTGACAGTCTCAGAATAATAATAACTCTTTTGTAATTCTGAGGTGATAGTGCAACTCGTACATTTTATTTTGATTTTTCTGCAGTAGAAGTCTTGTGCATATTCAGTGTATTTTCATCTCGTTTCATCACTGCATAGTTTGAAGGGTAGAAATACACTAATTGTGCAAGAGTTCTTAAGTTTCTCGGAAATAATTTGCTGTTCCATATATGAATAGCCAAGTTTAACTCAAAATAGTTCTTCAATATATAGACACGGAATTTGACAGATCGTATTGACAGAGACCAGAAAGTACTGTTCTTGGTCCTGTTCTTTTCGATCTCTAAACTTATCACCTTTCATTTGTAATGGATTCAGAGCTGCACTATTCCATCAAATTGTAGTCAACGTACCTGAAAAAAACATCATATATTGAATCTGTGAGAAGCATTAAATATCTGGGTGTGCATATCGATAATAAATTGTGGTGGAACTCTCATGTCAATTTCATAATTAAAAAAATGCGTGAAATCATTTATCAATTCAAAACTCCTAAAAAATATTTATCCATCACCGAATTGAAAAAAACTATACATATAATTCTCTTGTTGAAAGTCATTTAAAATACGCTATTATGGTTTGGGGAAACGCATCTAGGATATGTTTGAATCCTTTGGAAATAATCTAAAGAAAGATTTCTTCGGCTGATTCTCAACAAACCCCTCAGATTTTTTTCCGATAGCCTGTATAAAGATTCCATTTTTTTTTTATATTGGACGACAGCTATATCATCTGTGTGTAAACGTCAGATTTCATTTCTGTAACTCAGAACCAGCTGAGTTAGAACACGAATATAATACATGGAATCGAAATGTACTCACCTATCCGTACATTCTTAAGAAATCAATTTCTCAACGAGCCTTTTCATATGTTTCGTTCTAATTTTATAATGAGGTACCTAAAAAAATTAAAAAACTAAATAATAAGTATGCATTGGTTAGAGGAAAAGGTGGGGTTATATATACTCGAACATGATATATATTTTGTGTACAAATGTGGAACTAGGACTTTAAATACTTACCTGAACTTCACACAACTTTCACAACTGAGTTTAATACATATTTCGCAGATGAAATTTTCCTGTCTCCCTGCTTTTTCATTATATTACTATATTGAAATTATATTATAATGTTCATATACCTACCTACCTGTAATTTTATTTTATTACTATTATATTATATTGATAATTCATTATAATTTTTATAGATCTACTTAAAATTAATTTCATGTATGTGTATCGTCATAACGAAACAAGTACTTGGGTACTTATAATTTTACAATTTTATTCACTCAATAATTATTTCAGGCGAAAATTGGACAATTTTAGACATACTTGTGGGTGATTTGATGATTCGTTATCAACAACACTGCTAGTCAAGCCTCAGGAATAACCAAGAATCCTGTGAGAATAATATAATGATAAACACAGATTACAATTACGCTTAGATAAGTACACTGACAGTTTCCCATCTTTTTGTTTACTTGGCACAATCGAAACAATTTGTTTTGTTATTTGACATCAATTCATATTAGAATCCACGTGTTGTGTCGTCGATAAAATGAATTTTTTAGTAGTGTATTTTGTTATCGTTTATTGACCTTCATTATGTCATATCGCTATATTTTCGTAGGCAAGTTTTCGGTTATTATGTATGTACCTTTCAATAAACATAACATCTTTCACATTTAATCAAAATCGTTTTCCTTACTAAGTGAGTAACAAATTTTGCTATCTGATATCACAAAATATTGTTTTGGCATGAGCATTGCAAGTGACTAAACTACATAATGAAACTTGTGATGCACCATTTGGAACCTTTTGTATAGTAATGAATATTACTGAAGTTTTCCAACACCAAACCATCATTTTTAACACCTCGGCACGCATTTCGTTCACCAAGTGATCGTCTTCAAGAAGAAGAATGAACTGTTCATTCTTCCTCTGATCGTAACACGTGTCAAGGTGTTAAAAATAACGGTTTGGCGTTGGGATAGAACTCCAGTAATATTCACTTTATGAAAGAATATATGTCAGTGGTTTTTGCTGCATTTTAATTATTTTGCTATTACTTGCCTTTCTGACCGACAATTAATTAATCTAGATTCTTGTTGAAAATACAATATTCACCGCCAAATTTCACTATCGATAAAACAGTTTCCTTTCTCATCTATCGGAGCGTAATTAATCAGACATCCTCTGTAGTGCATTATGATTTGTCTCCACCTCCACCAGGTAGGTGTAGGTACTGTTCCACGTCTAAACGTAGTTTTTGTGATATGTGATCTTAGAGTAACAAAAGACAACATAGAGGCCTTTTCCATCCTTAAATTGAAGGCAGCATAACTTTGTTTGTTTACGGGAAGTAAGTTGGACCATGAAACAGTGGCGGTTGGTTTAGTTGATAATCGGAGGAATAGTATATATTTATAAATTAAATCATTTCAGGTGAAAATGTATTCTGTTCAAATAGTTCCTACACGAAATCTGATTTATTATTAATGATTATGGAAATTTATAGATTTTTATTTATGTATGGCTTTATAATAAAGCGCGTGGTTTACTGGGTTAAAATTAAATTATTTCATATGAACTAATTCATAACAATGATAAATGTTAATTTCAAAAGTAATGAACTTTGCTTCATATAATCAGATGAAGAAATTTGTGACTTATTCTCAGATTTTATAAACAAGCGGTACGGTTTGTGAGGTCCAATATGAAGAATTTTTGATTAGAAATCATAATTTCATTCAAAATTGGTATCTAGGGGTCTTTGTGGACCGACATTATGAAAGGGGATATTTTTAATATTTTCAATGATAATTTTTTTTCATATTGAATATTTCATATTGAATATTGTCTGTATGCTGATTAGCGGAAAACAGATGCAACGCGAGAGCCTCGTGCAAAGAAAATAAAACCAAAACGGAAATCATATTCTTTGTGTGACGTAAGTTAGTTGTTAAGTGAGCAATAACAGATTTAATACCGATTGCACAAGAATAACTATTCAGTATACAAACTGAACATTGAGCAGAAAGCTTTTTGATCTGTTGATCACAGAATGAATATGACTTATGTCACACTAATGAAAAACATATTTTTCATTTTTGAATACAATTTTTTTCATTTATATTAATGATTTTTCGTAATTATAGAATTCGTCAGCAATTATTGAAAAAAAAAACATAATGTCGGTCCACAAAGACCCTTAGATACCAATTTTGAATAAAATCACATAATAATATCAAACCTCAAATCGTAATTATAAATTTCATAATTTCTAATCGAAAATTCTTTATATCGGACCTCACAAACCGTATCGCTTTGTTCATCAAATATGAGAATAAATCACAAATTCATTCATCTGATTATATGAAGTGAAGTCCATTACCTTTAAAATTAACATTTATCATTGTTATGAGTTAGTTCATTTGAAATAATTTAATTTTAACCCAGTAAACCACGCGCTTTATTATAAAGCCATACATGAATAAAAATCTAGTAGGTGGTAGAAAAACTGACCTCATTTCCATAATCATTAATAAAAATCAGATTTCCTGTAGGAACTATTAAACAGAATACATTTTCACCTGAAATAATTTATTTTATAAATATATAATATCCCTCTGAATATCAACTA